GCAAATGTTCGACGCGTGGCCGCGATGCCGTGATGGAAGAGAAAAATTGCCTATTTCAGCGTCCAGCATTTTCCCAGGCGCACCACCCGCCCCGGTAATCTAGATTGTGGCTTGCATGCCGACGAAATATTCCCGGTGCGTGTACTATGACCGCGGCTATCTTCACTTTTCTTGCTCGCGAAACGCTCGCAAAACGCTCTTCGGGTTTTGCGAGAGGTCGTGGGCACGGGACCGTTTGGCGCGATACTTTTTGCGCCCGCTATTTCCTTAGCCGTTTTATACGCGCGGAGGGGGGGGGGGGCTTTCAGCGACGGATTTATGACAAATTTCTGGACCGCGTAATTTTAATCCACGCGAGATCTGCCCGGGGATAAAAATATTTGCGAGAAATATTAATGCGGATTTATTAATGCCTCGCGTGTGTATTGTTCCGCATCGTCAATCGAGTAACGCTGCTGCCATTTCGAAAGTTGTTTTGATGTAACTATTACCTCCTAATCCTACGGTGTCTACCGATCGATCGATTTCGAAAAATCTAGCGTTGTCGTTTCGCACAAAAGAAAATTTCATCTATCCTTCGTCAAATTTTGCCATGGTCGTTTTGTCCTTTATGTTTCAACAAAAAAAAGATTTACTTTCGGACAAATGTTTGTCCCGCGTGCTGCGACCTTTGGATGCGTAACTTGATTTATCTTTGAATGGCCTCGTAACGTAACGTCGTTACGCTGTAAACGTAAGCCACAAAATTCGACTGAGTCGACCGGTAGATGCATTTGTTGCTGCGGTCGACACAACGGGCGCTTTTTATCGCCGTGGATCTTCTTCCGTGTCGCACGCACGGAGGAAAAGGGTTACGATTGCAATATAGTTGAGCGAACGGGGGGGGGGTTGGCTGCTTGGAAAGTCGGTGAAGTATTAGCGTGCTCATGTCACGCGAAGAATGAGCGCCAACTATTTGTACGCTGTTTAAGAGGCTCCCGTTACTCTAGGAAATGCGACATGCGGGTAGATAAAAATATAATAACACCCACGTCGATATCTACCTAATAACGTTTTTTATCATCTTTATTAAGCATTAACATACTAATCATACAATTTGGCATATTCAACAGATAAGATAACAGATAGTTTATTCGAGCTTATACTTACACGCTTATATTACTCTACTCATATTATTATTATGTACCCTTTAAAACCCAAGTCATCCCAAGCAAAAAAGTTTTATAAAATTTTATTATCTACTCATATCCTTGCGTGAAAATTTTATTTCAATTTTATTTTTAAATTTTGCGTAAAACTTTACTTCAATTTTATTTTAAATTTTATTTCATTTTAAATTAAAAAAATAATTACTTCAACCAAATTTTCATCTAGCGTCTATCCGTATGAGCTGATAGCAATTAAAGCACGCACCCTTCTTGCGTGTAAACATTTCATGCTCCTTATCGTAAGCGGGGGCTTCGTTGATACATGCGGTATCTAACAGCCTATCGAATCTGATAAATAAAATATACATACCGTTATATGTATGTATATGGTGTGTCTGTCAAGAAATCTCGTGTTTCTTATCATAAACGAACACAGCGTAGTTACGTATATAAATAAGATACACAAAAAGTAATAATGCCATCGATTTCATCTCGAAAAACAAGGGAAGCAAGAATGCTTGTTATCAGAGAAAGAACTAGAGTCATTGCAACGACGTCGATTTACGACGGTTTCCTCGTCGTAAGAAGATGAAGAATTCCTGGGAAAACACGTAGGCGTGTGTGCCAGGAAAGGCGCGACGAGAGGCGCGATTTATTGGATGAAATGCAAATTGAATCGTAGTTAGCGAGAGGGTGTTGAGAAACGACGCGAGTAAATCGTGCCGCCTTCCCGCACTCCCCTTGCTACTTCGATCCCTTTTTCTCTCCCTCCCTCCCTCCCCCCCCCCCCCTCTCTCTCTCTCTCTCTCTCTCTCTCTCTCTCTCTCTCTCTCTCTCTCTCTCTCTCTCTCTCTCTCTGTCTTTCTTCTTTCTTTCTAGCCATTCTTTCTCACGAGCAAACCTCCTCTCTCCGCCTCCAATTCCGCCGTGTTCTTTCTCCGATAATTCGTACATAAATTCACGACAAATTGAAATAAAAACTGGGTCGATCGAAATGCAATTTACCCGAATGCGCTGCAACTCACGCGCGGCAAGGAGAATCGAGACCGAGATCGTTTACCGCTCGCGGGAGGCAATCACGCGGAGGCGTGATTTTCCCTGTGCGATCTCCCTGCCGTTAATTGCCTACTTTGCATCTGTTTCTGATTACCACGAGCGGCAATTCGCGACAATTACCGAATCCTTCCGATCCCGCTTCCCCCTTTCGGGAAACGATTCGCGCCCATTTCGCGTTTCCGTCAGCTTCGCCGACTTTTCGATGCTCCCGTCGCGTTATTATTTTCGAGAATTTTCACATGGAAAAATTTATTCGCTCGTTTTGCGCCACGCGATTTTAAATCGCGAGTCCAAATGGCGCGCCCCTTTTATTGCTACATCTATTAAAAAAGAATACGCATTATAAATAAATGCCAGTGCTTTCGTCACGATTTGCATTTCGAGCAAAGGTACTTTTAATGACGGTTATTTACCACCGAAAAAATTTGCAAATAAAATTGAGGTTACTCTCATGAAATTCAGAAAAAATATCGCTCTCCCAGTGCATACTCATCACTATGATAAATATGCTTCCATCCCATCTTTGTTTTTCTCTCTCTCTACACCGTTATTTTCTCGTTTATCACTACAAATCAAAAACTTTACGTTGTTACGCTTTGAAGCGGGTTCCGATTTACGTGATTATATGGCAGATGCTTCATTACCATTGGCCTGCCACAAAGCTACCAATAAAATAGGATACTCTAAAGTTAAATCGCGAACTCGTATGCAAACAATAGTATCATACAAGCGCGAATAAACATAGTGCGAGAATAACAATCGAGAAATTTAACCGAAACAACTTCTTGCGAAAACCACCGAAATATGTGTGCATTCTAGAATTAAATAACACCTTCATGTGCGCGAAAACTTGTCAGTTTCAACATAGTCGCCGTTTTCTGAGTTTAATTTTTACAAATGCGTATAAGTATGTACAAGTCTGCAAATTTAAGCGATATAAAAACGTAATTTTCTTAAATTGGATTACAAGTGTCATAAAAATAATTTATCTCAATATATGTAATATAAAATTTCGACAAAAGTTTATCAAATATTGACACTTGCATGATTAAAAACAGGCATGTTTTGTCACGCATATATAAAATATTTTGACATTGCGAGAGATTTATATTTACTCTTTATCGGAAAAAAAATCATTTGTTGGATACATGAATTTTTTGGTTCAAATAAACATTTTTTGCATAGTCAATAAATAAATAAAAAAATAGCGTGGCAAATTATTTTGGTAACAGAATCATGATAGAACAAGCTATATCGAAAATGTAAATTGCAATAAAAATGGTAATAATAGTTATAATTATTTTGAATCAATTAAAGTGCGATAAAATAATCGAAAAACGCCAATCGCAATATACAAAGAATATAATGTTAAAAAATTTTTTTATTATAATCATTTTATTTGAAGTACAATATAATGCGATTTAAAGTGCCTGTGGCATTTTAATTAAATGTGAAATTCAAAGAACAATCACAATTTATATATCACAATTTAAAATAGATGCGACAAAATATATTTCATATTGTTATTTCTGAGTACAACTTTTTAATGAAGTTCTCATTAATTAGAAAACTTTGTACTTCATGTCCATTCATGCTAATGCAACATTTTGCCGAATATGCAAAAAAAGCATTTCTTTTCTATTCTAGAATAGTTAAAACAATTAAGCAATAAAAAGATTTATGTAATAAGCACAGATCGAATTTTTTTCTATATTTAATCTCATTAATCTGTAATATGTTAAATTGCAAATTAGTAATGTATTAAACAAATGTTAAATCCTTGTCGAAGAATTTGGAATATTCAATTAATCACATTCATGCAGAATTAGTTATCTTATATTTGTATGTTTATCACTATTTCCATGTTTCAAATATTCATACTGATATTAATTTATTATCGCTTTTAGTCATATAACATATATAATATTAGTTATATCCGTGATACACAAATCGGAATGAAATAGCAAAAACATTCTTAAAGCTTCACGCTTTACTAATCAATATGTCGATTATATTTAATAAAATATCAAATAAAGATTTAACATGACACCGTTACAAATAGCTCACACGAAGCATTTGTCGTCTGCATTTTATTTCTGATAAATATCGAAATTATAACACACATATATATATATATATATATATATATATATATATATATATAGATATAGCACATAAGATGAAAAGTCCGAATATCTCATGAAGATGCTTAGTCGCCCTAAACATGATGGTCAGCCAATTTCGATCGCTGCGGAACCGCGTGCTTGCGTGATGCCGCTGGCATCTTCACGCTCCACATGTCGAAGGCACGCCACGAGAATTCACAGACCGAACGGAAATGCACGGATTCGAGCGTACATTCGGGGATCGATATGTCGCATTCCGTTCTAATAACACCGATGGTGCACCGACATCCGTTCGACTGATTACTCATTAAGGCTGTTTGCACGACGACATGTACCGCGAAAATATCAATTAGTATCGATCCCACCGATGTGTGTCCCCCTCCCACCCCCCCTCCCCGCGAAGATAAGATTGATATGCTGATTATAAACAACTGAATAGACCATTGTGCAAATATTTAACATACGTATCTGAGGATTGTCGCTTACCTCATGTCACGTAAAATGAGTGCATCTTTGTAGAATGTAATTCCAATTTCCGATCTGTAAACAGAAAGAAATAAAAATGTTATTCTACGATATTATCTAATTATGATACTTAAATGCTATGGTTGAAAATTATTTTAGGTGATTGATTTCATTTCAATTTATAAGTCACACGTCTGCAATGTGTTTACTTATAACATAATTTTACTTTAATTTTTCAATTTTTAACCCTTATTCAATAAACTGATAAAATTACGGAACTATTTTTTTTTTAAACTAATATTTTTTGCACATAATATAATCAAAGCTCGTTGGCACAAAAAATTGGATATGATGATAAAAATAAATACAAATTTGTTTCGTTATTCGCAAAGTCTACACTTTAACATCTAGATTCTTAAAGCTATTAGTTGTAATATCGTCGAAAACGAAAGCACAATAAATGACAATGCCAGATGTTGCGCTATAATAAGAGGGACATCTTTGCTTCGCCAAAAGGAACTGAGAACCAAGGACCTCCGATTTAATTCTATTAGGAAGCAAGCTGCGACATTCCAATTAACGAATTCTTGCCGAATCGAATTAACAAATTCTTGCACACAATCTGGTGCCAAATGTCGCCCAGCACGCGTGGGCAGCTTGCGATACATTTTAATTAAACATTCGTCTTTCTTTCTCCAAATATGTAAAGTATACATAAATCCATGTTTTTTAATAATTGTTTTCCGTCACCTCAATAATAATGTAAATAATTGTTTACAAATATTACGCAAATAATATAATATTCCTATTATACTTTTAAAGCGACAGATATATTCCTCAGAAAAATAAAACTAATATATGTAAAATAAAGTTCACAGAAATGTAAAAAATTATAAATTATCACTTAATCCGTATACCGTAATAAATAATTTAAAGCTTGTAAATGTAACGGTATATTACTATAACAATAATAAACTACAAATATTAATCATATGAACTTAATACTTTATGAGATAGGATATGTTAACTACGTTCCTATTTGAATATGCTACTATAATGAATTCTGGGTTCCCCGTAAATCGACCGTCGGAAATGTCGATTAACCAATAATATTGCAATTGCAATGAAATTTACCTTCACCATGAAATTTAATTTATATAATCGCAAATTAATTAAATTATCCAGAACGCTACGTGTAAAAATAAATTATTTTATTATAAAATCGATACATATTTTAGAGAACACATTTTTAAATCTCTTCTCCGTCATTCAAATATCATCCATTTTTTTATATTTAAATCGACAGATCAGTAATTATTCTCGAAACTTCCTGACTTCTGTAAAACTTTGTAGAAACGAGTGCCGCGATCGAAAAAGAGCACGTCCCGCGTATAAAGTTAAAAGAGTTTCGTATGTATGTCTGATGGCTCGTTGAAACGTTCGATGTAATACAATCGTCGTGTTTGCGTTTCAGAGTTTCGTGCTCGGTTCCCGCATATCCTTCTACCGTCCGTTCGGCCATATTCTCTTCACCTTCTCCTCATCCGTTCCTCAACATCCATACAACTGCGAGAGCGATGAGATTGAGAACGAAACTTTTTAAGTACGTCTAACGTACGCCGCTTTCGGCAGATAATAGAGTGGGAACGAAGAAGAAGAGGTGGAGAAGAGGAAAGGAGAAAAAGAAGAAGAAGAAGAAGAAGAGGAGAAGGAGGAGAAGAAAGGTCGACCTAGCATGACCCTCATCCTGGAGCAAGAGGTAATAGCAACTCTCCTGCCAAGATACAAGAATGAGAAACACACGATGTCAAAATGCCTTCTAATCGCGTACCGTTCCCTGTCCGTGGGAGCATCCAATCCCACGACTTGCAAGACCCTGACGTTTTAAAAAAGGATTTAATAGTCATCGGCCTGGGGGTCTGAGGTTTCGTAAGCGCGGGAGCAGAACGAAGGTAGACGATTGGTAGACGACGTCGAAGCATGCCTGGGTCATAATAGCCACGTCACAGCCGTTCATCCAAATCTGTGGATATCGAAATTACTCGGTCTTCCAGAACAGAAATATTCATCAACTTGAGTCTTTAACGACCGGTTTCGAAATATCGAAGAAAATTAAAAAAAAAGAAGAAAAAAAAGATGTACGTTCCATCGAGGATCCTAGATGAGAGAAGTGAAAATTAAAACGTATTTCAACCGGATAAATTTCCGATAATTGTACCGATAATAATATCATACCATATTATCAATGTTACAATGGATAATATTAAATTACTTTTGGTACGTACAATGAGACACATAATATTGATCGTAGTGCGTATATAGAAGCAACGTATTTAATGTAGACATATTATCAATGAACTAGTTGATTACCAATGTGCGTGTGTATGACAATCCATCTATTTCAATCAATGAGGACGTCCGTCCAAAGTAACGGATCACGCATTGCGTACTTGAAATTTTTCTAGGGTCAACTAACGTCAGTTTGTTCGGACAGATGACATCTCCGTTATCGACGCCATTGTAACACACTCATTTT